ACTTCCTCATAGACAATTAAAAAAAAACTATTACTAATACAACAAGTCAAATAAACCGTTACAAAAACAAAACATAAACAGAGTGGGAGAGAGATTACTAACAGTGCACATGTGTGCCCTTCTTCCTCTTCCCCTCCCACTCCCTCTCGAGACGGATTCACCTTCGGTCAAATGAATTAAAATGAATTAGCACGAGGCTTGGCTGCTCGCTCTCGCTCTCACGCTCTTTCTTCCTCTCCCCCTCTCTTTCACTCGCTCTCTTTCTCTGAGAGAAAGATCACTCAAATTCATCGTCTACTTTCTCTCTATAAATAGTGGAAATCGGGCTTTCAATGTTAAAGACATTTCGAAATCCGTGAAAGTGAAGCGCAAGCAAGGGTCAACCTTTCATCTCCCTTACTCTACCACCCACATCCCTTTTAATGTGTATTTTATCTGACGGTGTTTCTCCCTAAAAAAGGTTACAAATTACAATTACAGCAATTGCTGCACAGAAAAAAGGAATCCGGCTACTTTATATTATTTGAATATGTTAACATTGTAGTTTAAAGTGTAGATTATAAAAGTCTTGTAAGGGAAAATCATAGTTTGATATTGCATTTTTCTGTATCATAAAAAATTCATTTCTTCATTCATTTTGAATCGGTTTGAAAAATAAAACTTCAAAACTTTTTCTTTCTGTTTACTTTTTCTCTCGTATTTCATTACACTTTATGAAACTGAGGGGTCAGGCGATATTTATCTGCCATATGGTTTGCACTTGACTATAACGGTAATTACATCTAGGCACGACATTGCCCCTGAATTTAATGCAATGCACGCACACGAGTGCATCAAATGTTGCACATTTTGTTTGATCGTTTCCTCGATTTCGCGCATTCGCCTCGCTTTTTGTTATTGTTGATGTATTTTTCATAGCTTAACGGTAATCACTATTTGCGACGACATTGAATTTTCGTAACTAGCGTGGTCAATACTAATTCATACGTTGAGATCTTAAAATTTGAATTCAGACTTTACATTGGATTTGGTTCCTGGTAATTTCCTAGCAAGGCCAAGGATTTCAGAATATAAGTTTTAAGTAAATACCAAAATTGTTTTTTAGAATGAGTAGTATCACCACCACCACAACGTAGTTTTAATTTTAACTTGACAAGTATTTAGAACAAGATACTATACACAAAGTTCTTAAATATTTCAATTTGTAATAAGACAAAAAGCTCAAATTACTGTAATATGACATAATTTTATCTACAGAAAGTGGTTATAACCCTTTAGAGGTTCACATAACAAATTGATTAAGAATAACTTTAAAACAATCACAAAACGAGGTAAAAATAAATTATAAATCTTAAATCATGATGAAGGTTCGATAAAGTTTATTCCATAAATCAAATATTTTTTCTTACCTGGCTAGAGCCATTCTAACATGAGATAGCCCTCCAAGAGGCAACGCCAGGGTATCCACTTTGAAGGTTTTTCTTCAATAACTTCCCACACGGAACTCAAATGGAAAATCAAAACTTTTGTTTTGATGTTTCCTACTTGCTTATACTTGTATTTTCGTATATATCAATATTTTAGAATTTATAGTTTTTGGCACTTTTATGGAGAGCTTTTTAGAGGTCTTGATTAATTATTAGCACATAAACGTCATCTTGAATTTAAACTATAGAGATTGAATTTAATTAACAAGGATCCTATAAAGTTCGGAGTTTCAACAACAAGGAGAACACGCCTTGAACTATGCAACCTTTTTTGTTAAGCACTCAAGCACCTTTTGCGAACAAAGAAAAACGAGATAGCGTAAATTAAAAAGAATACTGTAAAACATCACATCAATTTTATCACATTCAATTATGAAGCGAACGTGTGTGACCATATAATGACCAAGTTCGGTACAGCCGGTCGTATACGTGATATTTGCACGCGAAATTATCAAAAAAGCCAAACGGCACACAAATATAATCTCTCACACTCACACAACCAAAGAGAAGGGTGAAAAAACCAGCGTACAATGTTCAATGCCAAATCAAAATAAAAATAAAGCCAGCAACAAAAGATACTGAAACACCATCAACCAAAAAACAAAAAGTGATTCAAGTTATCAGCAGAATTTTTTGTGATAAGCTAAATTAAACAAAGACTGTATGGCACTCCCTCTCTCTTGCATTTACCCACCTCTGTGTGGGTATATCTATCTCTTTCTAGGCATTTGCACATGGCTTGCCGGCATTAAAAAACGCTCAGCCTCGGCCAAATAGTAATGAAATCAATAAATACGAAATACGAAACAAAAAGCGAAGAGAAGAAACGCTTCCGCAGCTGGCCGGCAAAATAAATCAGTGCAAAAGCAGCTTTGGAGGTCATCACTGACGCCCCAAGTCGCGACTAGAAGAAGAAATCCTTAGCAAAAGAATATTCTTATGCACGAAGAGACTCTCCAAAAACTACGGAGAAAAAAATTAAATCAACCAATATAAGAGCAAACATAGTGGATGGAAAAACTTAAATGAAAAATATAAAACAAAAACCACACACTAAATTCCATTCCGTAGTCATGAGCATACAAGGTTCTTCCTATATCACTCGAATCCACTTTTATACATACAAAAAACAATATAGAAAAAAAAAAAAAAAACAAAAAAGCTCTCAACCTGCGCAAGTGAAAAAGCTACTGTTGACTTTGCAAAAGCAGAAAAAGCTGCGCCGGCGTTTGCACGCTGACCTCAGCTGCTTATTTACCCCTAGAGCAAGTGAGATGGCTACAACAAAAAGAGGGAGAGGAAGTGAACAAAGTTCTCTCATTTATAAACAATAAACAAAAATATTGGACAGGGGGCAGCACATGTTTTTAATTGAACTACCCAAATGGAGCTTTTTGCAAGTCGAAACATGTGTAATAAACCAAAGTTGGCCTTCTCTTTCTAGCTCTTTTGAAAATTTCAATGCTATTTCGGTTATTTTTTTACTTTTCCTGCCCGTCTGGCAACGCTGCTCAAAAAGCTTTGTTTTTTTAACAAATACAAATTAATATAAATTTAATCGAATTCAAATTCAACTTTATAAACATGTGATTTGCGTCATACGAAAAGAAAGAGAGAGTGGGCTATATGCGGGTGTGAAAGAGACGGGTGAGAACAAGAAAAAGAGAGAGCGATAGCCTGTGCCGGGTGTTAAAAAGCCGACTCTACCCAACGATATAGAAAAAGTTGCTTTGCTTTCCAGCTTCTTTTCTCGCTTTATTCTCGAATTTCAAGCTTGAGGTTGGGTTTATTTCCATATAGCTGTGTATATCGCCTAAAACATTTCGAAGGGCGTTAGATTGAGGAAGTTGTTAAGGCTGTCGTCGTCGTTGTTGTTGTTGCCAAAGCTTATTTTGTCATTCACATTGTGTTTAATTGCGCGTGTTTTTGAACTCGAAAGACTTTAAGAAATTTTTAATTTACGACTTTAAGATTAAGGTCACTTGTTTAAAATTGCGCGATACTCAAAAAACAGCAGTTTTTCGAAAACTCAAAAATTCTAGGCACACTTTGGATCCAGCTGAGTATTTACCGTTGCGAATTGTGGGTGTTAAATGGGAAAATCGGTTAGCAACACACACGGAGGGCAGATACGAATTTTTCCGTGAAAAGCACTCACAAACTACTATTCTCTACGCGCAGCAGCTGACGACTGACAAGCTTTTTTCTTAATATATATTTTTTGTTTTGCCTCAGCTAGATTGTGTTTGTTTTGCTTTTACCGCCAGAGCTTTTTCTCTTGGCAAAGACACAGAGAAGCGCCGAAGCTTTGGAAGCCAGCGTTTTTTGAGAGCCAAGAACCAAAGTTTTCGTTTAAAGATTTGCAGTTTGTAAATCAAGAAGCCAGATTAAAAATTATGAATAGTTAGAACAAGTTAAGAAATTTTATTAACCTTCTTATTAAAAAATATTATTGCATACTTCTAGACATCTTGATAAGTGGTTTCAAATCAGAATGTTATGAAAAATCTGATAAGAATAGATATAAAAGGAAAACTCCGTGATCCGATTACCGAAACCCCGATACATTTGCAGTTACAAATATTCAAACTATTATGTTCTAGCTAACAAAAAGCCAAGTTAGCACCTCTCAGTAGAACCAACTTAAAAGCTCATCGCGGGATGTTTGCTGGCGGTGGATGTTGACTCTCAAGGCCCTTATCAAGGCTATTTACGGGGGAAGCGAGACAGCAGCTTATCAGATAGAGAGAGAGAAAGCTAATCCCCAAGAATTAATGACTTAACCCGCATCCGTCCCTTAAAATCTGTAACATATTAGCTCCTATGTATCAATTTGATACAGGTTTAAAAACATGCTTAAATTAGTTAGTAAAATTAAAAAAGAAACCAATTTTTTATATTTATTATGAACGTTTGTTTATTTTGAACAAAAAATGCTTTTCATGAATTTTGAAAAAATTAAGTGCATTGTCACAAATTTTATAAAAATGGTCAGTGCATTCTCTGATCGTGGCATTGATTTGCGAGCATGAATGTAGGGCCGAACCAGCTCGTCAGCAACTTCAATGATAAAAAGACGGCGGCGATATTTTTTTTTCCTTGTTTTTCCATTCGGGATTGAGCTCAGTGAGTAATACAAATGCATTGAATACCGAAATATCCAATATATACAATATATATGTATATATACAATATATACACTGTATCAATTTGATACATAGAACCATTGTGTTACCTATTTTGTAGCGCGTTTGTTTGAAGTCATAAACTTCTGACAGTGGTTTTTTTTATTGCTCTTTTTAAAGACAAAACTTGAGCCAAAATCACAAATCCATATAAGAATCCATTTCGCCTAAGTCTGAATCTTAAGTTAAAGTTTGTATCAAATTGATACAAAGAACGGATGCGGGTTAATAATTGGAGCTGACTCTCAGTTCAATTGAAATCATATGTTTACCACTGACCGCTCAAGTAATCCCAACTTAATTGCTGAGATCTTGCAAAGAAACTCACCTTGTTTTTGTTATTACTGCTGTTCCTTCCTGTAATTTACAATCCGAAGCCACACAAGTTAAGATGTCTGAAAGAAAAGCAAGAGATTCATTAATGATGACAATTATATTTAATTATTATAATGATGTTAATAAATCCTTTTTTTATGTAAAAAAAATTGTTTTCATCTCGTTTTAATTGGTGGGTAACCGTTGCCAGAAAAAAATAAAATCTAAACTCAATCAATTTATATAAATGGTTTTTAATAGGTATTACACTTGATGTTTTTAGAATTTTTTAAATAATATTTTTATTTGGGTATTTTCCTGACCGCAGCTGTTATATGTATTATTAAATTTATGTGCATACTCCCAAAAAAATTCAAAAACAAAAAACACATATTAAAACAGAAATAAGCGAATCGGTTCAACGTCTTTAACTTTGTAAGCCGCATGTTGTTGTTGTTTTTATATTATTTCTGTATTTATTGTTGTTTCCATTGTGTTGGGTTGCTTACATACTTAACCAAAGTCGTTGCCACTCGCTGCACAATAACAACAACAACAACAAAATAATAAAGAGAAGCGGCAGCAACAACAAATTACTTTGACAGCACAAAGTTCTCAAGTGAACAACCTGAACATCGGGGAGCGACCAGCTACCAGAAACGTCAAAGTCAACAAAGCGGGTCAAAACAGGCAAGCGGAAAGTTTTGGGGCGGAGAGAGTTCGGTTATGAACGTAGACATAGGATGTGCAAGTCACAGGTTCTTCAGAATGGGGGATAGCCCCTAGGACTAGGTCAACTCGACTTGGCCCACCCCAAAAACTTTATCAATTTAGCCCAGCGTTTGATAAGCAAACCGGTTATTCTGCTTTATGGAAATCTCATATTTATTTTTGATAAATGGGTTGCGATTAACTAATGGAAACAAGTATAAAAACAAATTTGAAATTATTTTGAGCTTTTAATTAATATATTCAGCAAAAACAACGCATATTAATTTACATATATTCCTAATTTTAATTAGGAAGTGGACAAAATATAAAATCTTGTTTGTCCAGAATGTAAGCTATTGATTTTGTTTATTTAAGAAGAATTGCAAAGTCATGTTCTTCTTAAAATAACAATTTTGTTCTAAAACCTGTGTTCTATAAGAGAATCAAATAACAGTCATTAGGAATTCCAAAGATTCAATCAGCTTGCGGCTGTGCATGTTAAATGAGTTTATAAATCAAACAAATTCGTTTGCTTAGCCAAGTTAAATAAAGGGTGTAGCAAATGCAGTTGATGTGAAACGTTGTTCACATAATGTCAACTAATTTAACAATAGCTAAATATAGTTCATTGTTCAAGTATTTCATGAAATTTGCTATCCTGTTTATTTCTGTTGTTTTATTTCTGGGTAAGGTACAATAAATAAATCATTGTGATAAGAGTGATTGAAAATAAGCTGCGTTAATTTGTTTATCTACAAAATGTTAAGCTTTAGTAGCTTTTGGTATATATGGTAGATAAAGTACAAGCAGATAAAATGTAAAAATATTTGGTTATAAACTTTATAGGGTCGAAAGGATTTAAAAACGAAACTTGTACTCAGAACGCCTTACCTAGCAATGCCTACAAAATAATTGTAGGTATGAACAAAAAAGATTGTCCTATCGTTATGAAATGGCGAACCGTATCAGCAGTGCAGTGTTGTCTATATATTCAAAAGAAAGCAGTTCCAAGCAAATATAAAAATGCTGAGGCAGACCGGCGAGTCACACTGAGAAGGCACTTTATGAAAATCATTCCGTGGGACATTTACAGAGAGAGGCTGATAGATCGATCTACCTGCAAAGGAATCCCCTCTTCACCACACCAAATAGAATGTCACACTGAGAAGGCACTTTATAAAAATCATTTCAGGGGGTAGTACTGGCAGAGAGGATGGTAGATCTATCTACCTGCAAAGGAGTAGCCTGCCTCAAGTGGCTCTATTTACGCCCGAACGTAAAGATAACCTTATCACTCGGACATATGGTGAAATTGCTATTAGGCGAACTCTCTGACGACTATAAATCGGCAGTCGGATCCGACCTGTTAGTTTCAATTTAGCACTCTAGAAGTGTGGACCGCGAGTGAATAGAATAGAATCAATATGATCGGAATATATCTATTGATCGGCGCAGTTACGTTGCTGTATGTCTACCTCAAATGGACATTTAGCTACTGGGATCGAAAGGGTTTTCCCTCCGTGGGAGTGAGCATTCCCTTCGGTGCCATGGAATCCGTGACAAAGGGTAAACGATCCTTCGGAATGGCCATATACGATATGTACCAGACGGCAAAGGAGCCCGTGGTCGGTTTGTATCTCACTTTGAGACCCGCTCTCCTGATTAGAGATGCTCAACTGGCCCACGATGTGTTGGTCAAGGACTTTGCTAGTTTCCACGATCGTGGGGTTTATGTGGATGAGAAAAACGATCCCATGTCCGCAAGCTTGTTCCAAATGGAAGGAGCCAGTTGGAGGAACCTAAGGAACAAACTGACTCCGTCATTTACTTCCGGAAAACTAAAAGCCATGTTCGAAACCTCAAATTCAGTCGGAGACAAGTTAATAGCCAGCATGAAGGCACAACTGCCTGAAAAAGGAAGCAAGGAACTGGAAATCAAGGGTTTCATGGCAACGTAAGTTGAAGTTATCTATATGAAATACTTGATTAGGTACGAGTGATGACATCACAAAGAAACGTAATAGAACCAAAGACTATCAAATCTCGAGATTATTTGTTTGAGCTCGAAGTCACTTTTATTGACGTAACTTATTATAAACTTAAGTAACACTCTTATCGAATTAATAGCTAACATACTGCGCTTTACATTGTTTTTTTTCAGATATGCCATCGATATTATTGCGACGACTATTTTTGGCCTTGATATTGACAGCTTTGCAGATCCCAACAATGAATTCCAGGCTATAAGCAAAAAGCTCAACCGTAAAAACTTTGAGGATATTATTCGTGGAGCAGCCAGTTTTCTCTATCCCGGGTAAGAACACAAAAGGGTTTAAAAAGCAATTAAAGCTTATATGTTGCATCTTTTCCAGATTGGAGAAGTTCTTTGTGCGAATTGGTTGGAAACAGGAGGCCACAGAAAGGATGCGCGAATTATCCCATCGCACTGTCGATCTTAGGGAAAAAAATAATATAGTGCGAAAGGATTTGCTGCAACTTCTTTTGCAGTTGCGTAATCAGGGAAAGGTTAACACCGATGATTCAGTTTGGTCAGCAGAAAGTTCCCAAAATGGCGTAAAATCAATTTCAAAGGACTTGATTGCCGGTCAGCTCTTCCTCTTTTACGTTGCCGGTTATGAGACGACAGCCTCCACGATTTCCTTCACTCTGTACGAGCTCACCCAAAATCCCGAAGTAATGGAAAAGGCGAAGGAGGATGTGCGAAATGCCATCGAAAAGAACGGCGGAAAATTGACCTACGATGCGGTCTCGGATATGAAGTACCTGGAGGCCTGTGTGCTCGGTAAGTTGTCTTAAGCCAAATCCTGTGTTTTTCCAAGTATGATAATTTCTTTTTCTTGTAGAAACTGCTCGGAAATACCCTGCTCTCCCGCTGCTTAACCGCATATGCACTCAGGATTATCCTGTGCCCGATAGCAAGCTGGTTATCAAGAAGGGAACACCTATTATTATCTCCCTAATTGGAATGCAACGAGACGCCGAGTACTTCCCCGATCCGCTGAGATATCAACCAGAACGCTATCTGGATGAAAACAAAGACTTCAACCAAGCGGCCTATATGCCTTTTGGAGAAGGACCAAGGATGTGCATAGGTAAGAGACTATGAAATATAATCTAACTAAAGCTTGAATAGTTTCGTAGTTTCATAAAAAAAATCATCGAAAATAAATTTCATAAAATTTTGAAACATTTCGTTGAACCCTGAACATTTTGTTCCCTTTTCCAGGTGCCCGCATGGGAAAGGTGAATGTAAAGCTAGCGATTGCCAAGATTCTGACGAATTTCGATCTGGAGATGCGCCAGGAAAAACGAGAGATTGAGTTCGGTATAAACGGAGTACCTTTGATGCCCAAGGAAGGTGTTCCCGTACGAGTCTCCCTCAAAAAGTAGTCTGTAGTCTTAGATTAAAACCCAATTGCAAATAGACAATAAACATATTGTATAGAAAATATGGACAAACATTTCAATTGGATGCACTTCTCCCTCCCTCACACACACAAGCACGCACCTTTGTAAATGTAAATACTTTTTTTGTTCTCTGCTTTTACATAAGTCGCGCTATTTACTCGACATTTGTGGGATTTTGAGTGAACTTTAGCTGATCGGCTGCACTTCCGCAGATGCCTAGAATATGCATACGGCCGGGAAATGCACTTTTTCCAGCTATGACAACACAATATGGCCGAAAAAATACTCTTTCACTTTTTCCAGGCCAAGTTGTGTGAACTGCGCCACACACACCAACACACACACACGCGCGTACGCACTGGGGACACGCACACTGTCGCACACGCGGCGATGACGTTGGGCGGCCGCAATGCACTCAAATAATGCACTTTTTCGCGAATAATTCGATTGCACTTGTTTGACGGGGACTCTTGGCTATTACTTTGCAAATTTTCAAGTAAATACGACGAATTTAGCGAATCAGCGAATCACTCGCTTCCCATGCTGCGGCACACACTCACACGCTCACTCACTCCCACACGGACGCATACATATGTTTGTCCCCGGCGATACGGCAACGCTGCAGCAATGCAACTCTGTCTGGCCATTTGGCGGGTTTGTCTGTTTCCCGCCAACTATTTAGTAGCTAGTAGCTAGCTGTTGACAACACAATATGACTATGGGCATTTTAAAACTACGGTAGATACCCTTGAGCTAAAAAAAATGTAAGTGCTCAGTTGTTTTAATTAAAAAATGCTTTTATACAAATATCGGTTATACTTATGAACGGTTATATTTATGAACAAAGCTTGTTCGGAAATGCTTAAAAAAAACTTTTCAAAAGTTAAAATAGGTAAATGTTCAGAACTGGTTTGGGGTAATTGTTTAGAACAGCGGCTTTTTTCCAATTTTCTCGGCAATGTCTTAATATGTGAATTTTAAAATCTACCCCACCAATATAGGGCACATGCACCACTTTTCACAATTTTTAACATAAAAAGTACGAAAAAGAGCCCTACTTATTAGTGAAGTAGATTTATAATCGCACATTTCCCGACAAAATTGGACATTTTTTTAGAAAACCCGCTGTTCTAAACAATTACCCCAAAATCAGGGGCGGACCCAGGGGGGTGGTCCTGGGGGTCCGGACCCCCCCCCAAAATCTCGGAATTTTTCAAATTCCCTTACAGCATTCGGTCTTTTAACCATATAAACTAAAAAATTTTTGATCGGACCCCCCCAAACTAAAAAATTTTCGTTCGGACCCCCCAAAATTTTTTTCTGCGTCCGCCCCTGCCCAAAATAAATTCAATAATAATAAACCTGTATTACAAAACATTTAAAAGTTTTACGTTCAAAGAAACGTTTTCATTTAGCCGCAAAAAATAGCCATTTCTTATAGCAGCCCGCAGTTTAATGCACCTCTGCTTTATGTTTTTTCGTCAACTGGGTGGCAACTTCTGTGTTTTTCTCGGCTGATGAAAAAGTTGACCAATAAAATCAATTAAATTAAAGTTGCAGCAAATGCTTAAATTTTTAGTGAAAGTGCGCCTACATAGAGTAGGATAAACATAGTTTTACAACGGATTACAGAGGCGAAAATCCGAATCCCAGCAGGCATACGTGTGTATTTGTGCGTAGTCCGTAAACGTCACACACACACGAGGTCCACGCACACAGAGATAGAGAACGGAGCCCTACTATTTACTTTGATCACCACGTAGTAACTAGTTAAATCTAGTGATTACGGCTAATAGGCGACATGGACGGCAACAAGGACGAGGCACAGCGGTGCATCGATTTGGCGGTCCAGGCTCTTGCGGAGGGCAAGATCGAAAAGGCCGAGAAGTTCCTGCTCAAGGCGGAAAAGCTGTTCCCTACGGAAAATGCAAAGAGTAAGGATAAAGGAAAAGTGATCTATAATACTCGTGTTCCATTATATTTCGACTTTTTTGCCAAGCCTTTTAATAATATAATAACCAGTATAAGCGGAAATCTTTTTGGGTTTTTCTTATCTGTTTAAACAGTAAAGATATGAATATTTTTCCAAACAATAACGGGTTGGCAATCAGTAACAGTGGCCCGATTTTAATCTATCCTGGTATTAGCTTCTTAAATGCGTAAATAAGGGCAAACTATCAAGGTTTACAAAAATTTCACATGTTTTCGGTGTTGTTACACTTTCAATACTAATAAAAGCCATACAACAAAAAAAATGACCCTTGACCTAATGAATACTTTTTTTAACTTAAATTTTTAGAGCTACTGGCCCAGGTTAAAAGCAGTCCAGGCAACGGCACCAATGGCAAATCTCGTCCAGCGGCTGCCAGCGATGAAAAGGACAGCGGTCCTAGAAAACGTGTGAACTCCGACTCGCGTTCCAATGCCCCAGATTACACCAACGATCAATTAGAGGCTGTGCGTAAGATCAAAAAGTGAGTAACAATCTATAATTTTAACTGTAACTATTAATTTGTAATTCCTACCTTTCAGATGTAAGGACTACTACGAAGTATTGGGCGTGAGCAAAACAGCCACCGACTCTGAGATCAAGAAGGCCTATAAGAAGCTAGCTCTGCAACTACATCCGGATAAGAACAAGGCTCCAGGATCGGTTGAAGCCTTTAAAGCCTTGGGCAATGCTGCCGGTGTTCTTACGGATGCCGAAAAGCGCAAGAACTATGACCTTTACGGCATTAATGAGTCCCACAATGGTCATGGAAATAACGGAGGTGGTCACCAGGGACATGGCCAATACTACAACAACGAGTATGGATACTCTCGTGGTTTCCAGGCTGACATCAGTGCCGAGGAGCTGTTTAATATGTTCTTCAACGGTGGATTCCCCCAGCAAAATGTCTACATGCGCCAGCAGCGACGTCGTCATCAGGCTCGCGAGGATCGCGATGTAATAATGAAAGCTTATAAACACGGACTTCAAAGTACAATGAGACTTCTCTTTCTTTATTTTTTAGGGCAACAACTCTTCAGCTTGGATCAACTTGCTGCCTATTTTGCTGCTAATTGGTCTCTCCATGATGTCGTCGTTCTTTATCTCTGATCCGATGTACAGCCTGACTCCCTCCCAGTAAATTAACCATCAACTCCATTCCAGGTGTTAGAATCTAATCAAGGTATTTTTTAAACCCTCAGCAAATATTCTGTAAAACGTGAGACGAATGCCTTGAAAATACCATATTACGTGAAGGACAACTTTTATTCGGAGTATCAGGGCTCGGTGGCCCGATTAGAGGAATCCGTGGAAGAGGACTTTGTCAATCATCTGAAACACTCTTGCAGTCGAGAGCGGAATTATCGTAAGTTAATTGAGTAAATCGTATGAAACTCGTATAAAAAATCAAATTTTTAGGTGACGCAATGTTGGCCAAGGCGCGTACCTTTGGCGATCGGGACCTGTACAGAAAGGCACAGAACATCAACACGCCGTCGTGCGAAAATCTGCAAAAGTATTTAATTACATAATTTAGTTAATGCTGCTACACGAAACACTACTTTATATCCCCTTTTAGACCTTAACTGGGTTTTAGATTACCTAATTCGCTTTAGTTGTTATAAATGAATTTCATTGTCTGTTTTGTTTCATAATTTATATGTTCGTTCAACAACCTTCCCTCTCTCCCCCGCGCAAAAACGAATTGGAATGAATCGCAAAGAATCACTTTGAGAAATCAGATTTTCCCAAGTAACATATGGTAGCACGATCGATCGGTCGACAATATTATTTCTATAGAGCAATCGGCAAAATGTGAGAGCGAAGCAAACGCAACTGCCAAAAAGTCATATAATACGAGTATAAGTGGGAGGCTGAGACGAAGGACTACTGTTTTTTCATTTAGAAATCGGATAACTTTAATTGATAACACAAAATGTAAAGGATACGCATCATCACATACTGCTAGTCTTATTGTCAACGGCTCTAAGGATACGAATGCGTGGGCAGTGGCGATACTCTGAATAAAATTGCAAGTTATTATTACACCAAAATAAAATCCTTTGCCCACGAAAAGACTTGTTCTGATGTGGGCTTAAAAGTTTGTTTGTTTTATCTTCGCTAGAGTTTATAAATGTACAAATAAAGCAGTGTTACGCTACATGAAAGAAACAGACGGCGGTTAGTCCAGGTTCTTCGAGTACCTCAGTTGCTGATGATAGCTTCCAAGGCGGCCACCACATCGCCGCTCTGCTCGCGGAGCACTTTTTCGGCTTGCGCCTTGCTAACCAGCAGCTCATTCATCTGAAATAGAAGGAGGATTTGACGAATGAATAATCGAATATTCAGTGAGAATTTAAACCCTTCTAAATCGAAAATCTAGCTTCCTGCAGAGATAACTCTTTTAGTTTTAGGTACGCACAATTAATTCGATATCCTCCTTCTTGACTTGGACCTTTTGAAGTTCCTTTTCCTTAGCCACTCGCAGTTCATTCTCCTTGTTTCGCTGGTTTCCAAACTGTTCTACGGCCTGTATTTTAAAAAGAAAGGTTTGTCGATTAGTCTGATGACCCGGAAAATCCATGAAAACACTTACGCTAGATATATGGGCCGCGGAGATCTCTTTTTCCTCAGCATAATCCGTAACACGTTCCAAATCTGGAAATATAATTTGAGTTCCAATAAATCTTTGTTTTTGATGTTTTATGAGCAATGCTTTAGGCCCTTATCATAAAAACTAGCTTTCTAACCATTCAAAAAGGAATATTAAAGAACAAGAAGTTTTGACCGCCAAAATATAGTACAAGCAAATATAATTCACATTAGGTGACTCTTTTTTGCCCTTTTTTGTAAGGGGAGAGTGGGGGCGACTGAAATATTTACCTGCGGCGCCGTCATCATGCCGTTTGACGTCCGGTTTCTTTTGTTTTTGATCCTGCTCATCATCCTCCACTTCCTCTCTACCATTAATTTCTTCAGCTTCCGTCATTTTCAGTACTTTCTGTGTGTTTTATTTAATAAATATCAGAAATTTTTACGTTTTGTACGGCACCTCGTGCGAATAGAAATGAACAACCAACGATAAAACTATCGAAACTAATAAATTTATCAATAAATATTGCCAGTCGATTATTATGCTCATTAAGTGTTTGCTTGCTTAAAATATTAATTATATTTTTTAAAATGAATTATTAAATTATTTTAAATACAAAATTAATACTATATAGATAAAGATATATTGTATAAAAAATGGTATTTAACGTTGCCACCTTGTTGAGTTGCATTTGAAGTTCGGTAGCCCTGATGAAAAGCGCGCGCAGTTTGAAAAACTAGGTGTTCAATATTTGTACATTTACAACCAAATGAATAGCAAGATCATTAAAATGGTGAGAAATATTGTCATTGTTTTGGTGTGAAATTTAAATTACATTAATTTTGACAAGTAAAGCTTGGTCAACGTGTATAACTGTTTAAAGATATATGTATGTGTTTAATTTATTTTTTTTAGTTATCCAAAGAAATAAAAAACATAAAAACCAATCGAGGTTTAGGACCATCTTTTTAAAGCCATTAATATTAAAAAAATGCACACAACGCCTAAAACTTCTTAAACTTTTAATGTATTTTAAAGCCGAAGTTTATGTGTCAACCGCAAAACTAATTAAAAATGTCTCGCACATGAAAATTTAGCAACTGCTCTTGGCATTTTTCTCGCTTCTTTTGCAAATCCGAATATTTGTGTTGCGGTCAAAATGTTAATTATAAGTTTGATGCCCGGCTATAATTAGATTTTGCAGCAGCAGATACATGAATACTTTTCTGCACTCGTTGACATGCGACATCCTTTTTTTTTGCTCGCCTGGCGGGGGTCCTTTAAATGCCATGTGTGTGTGTCAGTGTGTCCTGTTGACATAGTCGTTTGCCGTCATGATTAATTTAATTGTCACTTTGACGTAAGGACACTCTCAGTTCCTCCTTCTTTCTGGCTTTGCTTCGGTTGAAAATCAAGATTAATTAGTATCCATGACCATGGGCGGTCAACATCATTTGTTAGGGTGTGTGTGTGTGTCAGTGTGTGTGTGCAAGTGGGGACTGCGATGGGGCAAAAGGAATGTGGGGAAGAGGGGGAACCACGGGGTGGCAACATATGTGCACTGCACTTAATTCGATTTTATTTCGGAAGCAGCGGGTTTTTCGACAGAATTTCACATGCAGAGCGCGAGTGATTGGAAAATAAAAAGAAAAGTGAAAATCAGTTTTTTTAGGGTTAACTTTCTGATGCTCTTTAAACAATAAGAAAAAATTAAGAATACTTTAATTCGTTAAAAACACAAATTATTAACATACTATTGAAATGTTTTTTCAATAAGTTTTTATGTAATGAACCCAAAACAAAGAGTATAAAAAATGAAACTATAATTTGGCTTACTCACAGAATCACGGCTTAAACGCAGCATATGTGATTGGCAGCAACAGGCTTTGCATTGTTAGCCCAGTTCCCGTTTTTCCAGCCCAACTCCTTTCTATATTTTCTCCACTCTCTTTTTTCGTTGGTCTTGCGTTTGCCAATTGGAAATTAAATTATGGTGCTAATTAGCACAGCACATAAATTAAGTTGGCAATTTCGGTTGGCATTGTGGTTGCCAGTGGCAAATTGAGCGTTGCATATCCACGGGGGCATCCTGTTTCTGTGTCTGTGTTGGCACCCGAAAATTCGCACAGTAAATTTTTTTTTTCCTTTTTTTTTTTGGGGGATAAGAAAGCGAGTGGGGTAAATTCGCTCGCGTGACGTAATTTAACTTGCATTGTTCTCGAAGGGCAAACATTTTAGTCGGTTTGTGTTGTTCTCCTTTTGGTGGTTATTTTTTGCGTTTTACACTCGCTTTTATTGTTTTCTTTTTTTTCGGTTTTTGTTTTGGTTGTGGTTATTGTTTTTTTGCTTAGGAAAGACGACAGGCCATTAATGTGTTATCAGGATTGTGTAATAATTTAAGGCTTCTGAAATGTTGATAGATGTGTGGTGTATTTTATGACTGCAGTTATTTAGTGTAAAGTTTTAAAGGAAATTTAATTTTAACTAAATATATGTATATAAATATTAGTCTTTCTTTTGATACCTATTTTTGGGTCCAATTTGAATTTTTTAAGCAAAAAAATTAAAGAAATGTTTTTATTATTTCAAAAGTCCTTGCATATCTAGCTTACCATGACATGTAAATTAGGAGATCATACGTTTTACACCCAGAGTGCATCTCATGTTCTCATTTCAAGTTTCTGATGCTGAAAAGCAAATTAATTCAAGGATTCCAGTTGGCTCAATGAAATCACGTTCCCTTCTTCATTTTCGGGTATTTCCTATATGAACACAATGCAATTGAGTATGCACAAATGTACAGCTGAGGTAATAATACTAGAATCGAATATATTTATATGAACAAAGTACACAAAATATCTATTTCCTGCTAAGTGATTTTATATTTATGAAAACAATATTCAATAATATAAATTTTAGGAGTCACTCTTATTTTCTGTGTTTTATATTTTTGACTCCCATTGTAAATCTGCATTTGTCTGTCTGATTTTCGGGCTGCGATGGGCATGTCGTCTGTGCCAAATGACATTGGACGTGGTGGTGTTCGTGGCCAGTCAATAAATAAATTAGCATAGCAAATAAATTAAGAAAATGCAATTTTCAAGAACTGTTGCACAGGCGACGAGGTCCTGCAACCCAACGAAATTTCCATTCAAGCGGCAATTCAAGGACAGTCTTTAAATTCGGGTTCAGTTTTCGGGTCGAGAACGTTGGCGTTTCTGGCTCATTGCATGCATAATTGGCTAGCAAACTCAATTACGCTAATAACACTCGAAAGCCCGGCTCAAATCTAGTGTGTGTCCTTAAATATTTATGTCTATGGGTGAGCGCTTGACTGACGCCACGAGAAATTATCCTTCTAGCAACCAAAATCAACCCATCTTAAGGGAAGAGAAAAAAAGGAAGATGAGGACAAATAATTGAGCCATTGAAGGCGGTCGAATGGTCAGCAAAAGTTCCAACTGTAACAGATAGCGAAGTAGGAAAACTTGCTCCTTGCAAGGATACTTTGGTGAGCGGACATTTGGGGCTATCCTTGAGGTAGAATGGGGCATATCCTAGTTTGTGTGCCAAAGGCGACCTATTGACGACCTTTATCGGGCTGTACATAAACCATAATCGCAATTGGCAAGTGGTCGCCACTCGAGGAAGCATCCTTTTGGCTATTGTCATGCTTCACGGCATGGACACACAGCCACCGATTTACTGGCATACACGCACAAACGATGCACTGGAAAAATTATGAGCGCATAATTTATAAAGGTAAATATGAATAAGAGCTTAATAAGGATCTTAAATATTTTTAATGAAATTTTTTCAATGGTTTTCTTAAGTTCTTGGCTTCGGAACATTGGAATGGTCGTATTTTTGAAAAAATATATAAATGCTAGTTTTAGTTTGGGTGATTTTTTTAATAATTCCAGGAAAGTGGAATGTACAACTTTTGTTAAATTTGGGCTTGCATTTTTCTGGGCTCTTTTTAATTGATTAAAATTAAGGCTGGACCACATTGCTTGAAAAATTCTTTTCCTGATCAAAATATCTACTTTTTTTAAAGCTAAAATTTTTTTCCAGTGCATTTCTGGCTCTGGGCATTGGCCAGCTTGGAACGCATCGAACGGAAGCCGCTGCTCATTCATTTAAAACTTGTCTGCAAGTTGCCAAGTTGTTCTCTTCCTCTTTCCACTCAGCGGCAAGAAGGTGCAAACCGTTGAGTGTGTGTCTGTCGTAAAGTCTCTCTTCCGCCCACTTTTCTCCTCCCCTTCCCCTCTCGAATTCCCCCTCCCCCCATCTTAATGTATCCCTGACATTTTGCAACTTTTGCGTTTAACAATTTCGCTTCCTTCCGCTGGCTAAACGGCGCCAGGTTGTCGTGGAAATTTGTTTTAATCGTCATCTTTGCCATCTACGTAAGCGCTTTTCCCAGCCCCCACAAACATTTTCCATTTCCACCGCCCGCCGCCTCAAGGGTTCGTTGACAGTAACTCCTTTCGGTTATCGATGGCCTG